CACTGCCCAGCACAACACCCCAGCACCAAAAGATGTGACCCCCAAATCCAAACCAAACCAAACCAAACCATCTCCCTGGAGGTTGTCTGCTCCTGGGTGCGGGAGCACAGAAAGAAGAATCAGCTTGCGGTGGGGGAATAGAAAGCTTGTCTTTGGGTCTTTTGCTACTTGATCACTTGATCACTTGACATCCCCTTATTCATCGATTTGCTCGAGCGGGCACCAGTAACGTCTCCATTAGTCCCTGTCACATGCTAGTGTAGCCCAATGGCATCTGCTCGCTTCAGTAACACGAAGAGCCTCAAACCTTTCATTTAGGGTCTAAGTCTGACCATCTCATAGGTGGGCGGCCATGCAATCTTATGACATCCGTGGAAACCAGTTAGTAATTGCTCTAGTCAAGTGGTTGTCTCCAAATTGCATTTTGTGTCCAGCCCATCTGATTTTTCGACGCCTCGGCAAACGAGACAGCGTCCCTGAATCTTGATCGTTGACGGAGTTTGGAACTCCGGATTCTTTCTCTCACTTGAGTGAAGCATAATATTTCAAGTATAGCTCTTTCAATTCCTCTTTGGGAGACCCGAATAGTGTTCTCATCCTGTTTTTGTAGGGCTGAGGTCTCTGAGGCATATGTTAATGCAGGAAGAATGGTGGAATCGAAGAGATGTGCCCCGAGCCGGAGGTTCTTCGTCCTCTTAGCTATTTCTTCGATGCTCTTGAAGGCGTTCCAAGCTGCTCTCTTCCTCCTGCACAACTGAGGTGCCAGGTTATTCGTCATGTTACTTCTTGACCTAGGTACACATAACTGTTGCATTCGGAGATGTTCGTTCCACAGAGCGCAAATGGAACGTCAGGAACGAGACCGTTTCTCATAAGCATTGTCTTAGTGAGATTCAGCTGGAGTCCGACCTTTCCACACTCACGGTCAAAGTCGGCCAGCATTTGTGCTGCTTGGCTAATGTTTGGTGTTATTAGAACGATGTTATCAGCAAAGTGGAGGTGGTGTAGTTGCCGACCATCTATCTTCACTCCCATTCCTTCCCATTCCAGTCGTCGCATGATGTTCTCGATGGTATCACCCTGCCGAACCTCTCTCTTGACATTGATGATTACTTCCTTGTAGAATGATGAGATCCTGGTGGTGAATCCGTAATACAGCTCACGGAGGATCCTGATGTATTAAGTTTGAATGCCCTGTTTGGCTAGGGCTTCGATGACCGCTTCAGTCTCAACAGAATCAAAGGCCTTCAAAGGCCTTTTACTACAAATGGTTTATTTAGGTGAGCCTGCATTTGACACTGAATTATGGAAGTCAAAGTGGGAGAGAGATTTGAGAGAATAATGACCTCATCAGAACATACATAGCCACTGGAGAATGTGTCACTGTTCAGGTAATGGACAGAGTGCACGAAGGTGGAGACTGGAAAGTGTGTAGGATGTTTTCAGATGAGACATGAAGAAACTTTAACAAGGTCCAGGGTGTGGTTATAGGAGTGGGTGACAATTGAGGGAGAGTCATTCGAAGTAAGGAGGTCAGGAAGCAGTGTCCAGAGAGCTGGATGGATCGTTCCGGCAACTGTTGGAATCATCCAAGTAGTTATAGCCCAGTGACTTTCAAACTTTAATCTGGTACAGGGACTGGAGAGATAGTACGGCAGGTGAGGCACTTGCCTTGCTGGGTTTTATCCCCAGCACTCACACATATGGATCCCGAGCCCCACGAGAAGTGATTCCTGAGTGCAGAGCCAGGATCTTGTGGCCATTGTTTGTGGCCCCAAAACCAATTTTTTTTTTAAAAAAAAAGAGAGCCTGTGCTACGCTACCTTCTTTCTAACTCACCATTGCTTGTGGCCCCAAAACCAATTTTTTTAAAAAAGAGAGCCTGTGCTACGCTACCTTCTTTCTAACCCTAGAGGTGCTCCCATTTATTGGGGAACCAGGAAAGGAAAAGGATTAGAAAAACACTGGGGAGAAATAAAGGGTGTTGGGAGGATCTTCCCAGGATGGGCGATGCATGCTGAAAGTAGACTATGGACCGAACACGATTGCCACTCAATGCCTCTTTTGCCAACCACAGCACCCAAAAGGAGAGAGAGATCAAAAGGGAATGCTCTGCCACAGAGGCAGGGTGGGATGGGGGATGGGGGGTGGGAGGGATACTGGGATCGGTGGTGGAGAATGGGTACTGGTGGAGGGATGGGTACTCGATCATTGTATAACTGAAACCCAAGCACAAAAATTTGTAAGTCTACAACTGTACCTCATGGTGTTTCACTAATAAAAATTAAAACAAAAACCAGAACACTGGGGAGATTATTTATAAAGTCATTGAACCTGTACTGAGTGATAGGTATATTTCTCAAACAATCTTTTCAACATGTCCTATGCCATTGGGCACCTCCCTGAAACCTATTTCAAAGGATTTAGGCATTAAAGGATTCAGGGATGGCTTGTGAAGCAACCGCCTTGCATGCCCCACATTCTCTGAGTGCCAGCCCATGGCATTGTCTTTTAGGAACCTTGGTGCTACACCAAAACGTGCCATTTCCAGTGCACCCTAGTCTGGTGTGTGTGTGCAAGCACGGCAACAAGTGTTTGGGCACTGCAGACAAAGTGTGTGTGACCTTTGGTTTATGCAGCAACAAAAGGCAAAGGGAAGGGGAAATAAGTAAAAGTAAAAATGTAGAAGTTACACTTACATGTTTGTATTTTCATTAAAAGCGAGGGAAATACAGGAAGGAAGAGTCGCACAACATCAAAGAGTGTGGTGAAGTTTACTGGAAAGCCCTGCCTTAGCCTTGGGGGAGTCACCCACGGGCTTGTTTTATCCTCCTGCCCTTACTATGAAACCAGCTCATTTCCTCTTTCTACAAACCCTCTGTTCAGGTCGTTCCTCTTTTAATTAAGACAGGAGAATAAGGTACTTAATTGATTTTTTACAATGTAACTGTTATCCATTTAAGTTATTTAATCCGCTTTGAATCCACATTTCTCTTCTCTGGAGACATCAGTTTTGATTTCACAGTCTGCTTTTCCGACCTTCTCCACCTGCAGTTGGCCCCGCCATGCATAGAGGAATCTCAAGCACATTCTGATTTCTCAGGGTTCCTGTGACTCCTGTAAAATATCAGTTACCCTCTGTCCACCCGGGAGGCAGCGGTTCCTAGAGAAAAGTAAGACTAGACTGTTTCCTAGATAAAAGCAGTTCCCTCGGGACATTTGACAGAAGAGTAAGCCAAGCTGGAGAAAGAGGAGAGTTCTGTCCAAGGTCAGTTCAGCAGCTCAGAGATCTAAGTGGCCTTCAAAGCTCTCAAATCCCGCCTTCCCTAGGGAAGAGCCGGGGACTAAATCCTATTCTGATTCTCAACACAACGCTCTGAGTCTCATCCTGAAATAGTTCATAGGGGCCCCAGCAATAATCTAGTGATGGGTAAAACCCTCTGGTTTTCCAATGAAACGATCCTATTTGCCATCCTGTTTGCTAGAAGACACTAGGAAGGCAGAGGAGAAAGGGAGAGGAGAGAGGGAGGGGGAGAGGGAGGGGTGGGGAGGAGAGAGACTTTCCTGGTATCTCCTGGGAATGTGCTGGGAATGCCAAACCTTCACGCAGCGGGAGGGATCCAGATAACTGCTTTAACACGTGCTTCCATTGATGTCGATAGATACCAAAATTTATGATGCTTTATAGTAGAAAATCAATTCTTTATGTGTACAACCTGTTCACCGGGTCGTCCTTATCCTCAAGAGAGATCCCAGTCCTCTCAGTGGCTGTGAGGGCACATTGATCTCTGCTCTCCAATCTCAGCTCTTCTACAACTGATTTGAGACTCTTTCGATCTCTGAACATTGTGTGTTTTCATCTGTTAGATGGGATCCTAACCTCTACATACTGGCCCCAGGGGATGTTATAAGGATTAAATGCTGAAGCAGGCTGATAACTTGCCTCTTAAGAAACTGATGTGACTCTGTGAGGGATTATTAAGTATCAGCCCTGCTGCTTTCAGCCCTGAAAGTTGTGTTGCATGCTGCCAGGTTCTCCCAACTGGCCTACCCATCAGGGTGAATTTCTCTTAATGGATAGATGATGATGCTTCAGGCAACTTTTTTTTTTTTCTTTTTTAAATTTATTTATTTATTTATTGAATCACCATGGGAAAGGTTACAAAGCTTTCAGGTTTAGGTCTCAGTCATGCAAATATCAAGCACATTTCCCTTTACTAAAACTTATTTTTGAACATGAAGAACCCCAATAAAACCCCACCCCCCACCCCTCCCAGTCCCTGTGGGGCAGATGAATTCTAGTTAACACTCTATCTGCTTTGATTAGATTCATTGTTTCAATAAAAGATTCACCACTATTATTTAGAGTTTACCAACTCCCTCAAGTCAGACATGCTGACAAAGCATTGTGAAGTGATTTGCTGTCTACAGCTGGGTTCAAGAATTATATGTTGGTTTTGGATTTCTGCTATTTTACTTATTGACCCTGGAAGTATTTCTACTGAAAGTCAGATAGTTAAGAAATTGGTTCCTGTGCTCTGGAGTCGTGGCCGTGCTGGAGAGCCGCTAGTGGGGGGCAACTGGTGGCCTCGGTAGGGCGTGAAGGGCGGACAGAAACGCCCCCTTCCCATGAGGTTTTAGTCGCCCCCAGTCCCCCGGCTCATACCTGCTGTCCACAAGGCTCAGGCAACTTTTGAACTGGATTTTTGAGCAGTTTTTAACTGCTCAGGCAGTTCAAAAGATGCTTCAGGCAACTTTTGAACTGGATTTTCAGCAGAGAGTGCTGAAATAAAGCTCTGCACTCAATACTCAGGTGTAACCAGCTAACATTTCGTCCTACTCATTGTTTCTGCTGCCCTACAATTTCTTATTAAATTATTAAGGAAGAGTTTTTTTTATATTGAACTGGGAGTTTTTTTCATTATCCAAGAGAACTCAGAGAAGACAGTGAATGAGCGTATAGGACAAAGATTCAGGACACTGAATATAAGAAAATAACAGGGCTCTCACTTCAGCAACACATATACTAAAATTGGAACAACACATAGAAAATTAGCAGGGCATCTGCTGAAGGATGACGAGCAAATTTGTGCAGTGTTCCATATATTTAAAATCGATCGATCAATCACAGGCAAGGACTGGGGTTGGGACTCAGCAGCTCTTGCTTTGCACATGCAAAGCCATGGATTTGATCCTCTGAAGCACAAGGACCTGAGCACTGAGCTGGGAAGAGTCCCCAGCACTGTACGATGTGACTTCAACTCCCAGCACCCCCCCAACCTCAAGCAACAGAAAATTCCACCTTGGAAATAAATGAATACGTAAATCCTTTGCGTTTGCTTTTTTGCATTTAACTTTGTTGAACTGCTGACAATTCAATTCAGAAGGAATCTGAGCAATCATTACATATATTTTTATCTATTTGTTTCATCTTAGGTATTTCGTTGTTTTGGCCACACCCGGTGATCCTCAGGGCTTACTCCTGGCTTTGTGCTCAGGGGTCATTCCTGGAGGGTCTCTGGGGGGGGGATAAGTGGTACTGGGGATCAAACCTGGGTTGGCTACATGCAAGTATCTTTTGTACTATCATTCTGGCCCAGAAGAGTCATTTTTCTAGCGGCTACATCCCGGGTGCTGGTGGATGGGAGAGGGCCAGGAGGAGACTGGGAGGGGCTGCTTTCAGCTGTTCTCCACCAAGCAGCATGTTTCAGTCCAGCCAGTGGCGCTCAGGATCGATAGTGCTGCTGTGTGAGTGAATGGGGCCACAGCAGGCACAGGAGAAGGTGCTTGAAGTGAATTTGGTCAGTGCTATCCAAGCCCAGGGTCTTCCCTTGGAGACTGAGCTGTATCAGAGAGCTGCCTCCCTAGCTCCCCTTTTCACCGGCGTCACCTTTTAATTCCTACTAAAAAAGATAGGAATGACTCTGAATCCTCACTCTTACCCCTCAGAAGAGAAATGCACATTTCAATTTCAATGACACACTTTTTTTTCACTCATCAGTTTGGCAAAGAGCTAGAAAAGTAGTGAAGGATGGTAGTGTTTTCATAAGTATTGTTGGTGAGGATTTAAATTGGAAAAACTTCGAAGCATGACAGTTTGGAGGCAGTATTTGCCCAAAAAAGGGGGGGGAGGGGATGTTGATGTGTAGCCACTCCCACTGGTACTTCCGGCTCCGTGCTCAGGATCCCTCCTAGGGGTACAAGGTCAAAAGCCACCATCACCCCTATACTTAGTCTCTCTTCAGTCCTGCTGGAATTTTTAATGCATATTTCTTTGCCCACCAACTCCAATTAAATTCTAATCTATGTATATGCTCAGCATATGTACAGCTTTCTTTGTAAGAACAACAGTTATTTCTGTAGGCCTCCTGAGGCAGCTGTCAGGCTGTTCCTGAAGTTCACTAAGTCTGCAGGGCCTCACCACCTGCGCTGTTTGACTCAGGTTGGAGTGAGGAATTGCTCTTCTCAGGAAAAGAAAAGTCAGTCCTAACTTCTGCTGGGCTTTTCCAGGAACATTTCCTTCCCTTGTAGAAAAGAATTTCAGGAGGATGAAATGGTGAAGTAAAATAGCTCGAATGAGAAAAAAATTACTTAGAGGAATATGAGCGGAAAGGAAGAAAGAGACGCGTGTTTAAGAGAGAACACAGGCTTCTCCAGAAGTGGGGAAAGGAGTCAAGAGCAGACATCACCTGGGCCAATATCCAGGGTAGAGAATACATGCTGTAAAGGGAGAAAGTGTGATTCTCGGACAGAGATGGGGTCACGTTCCCCCAAATGGGAAAAAACCCCATAGCTTTTCCTGTGATGCATTAATTGATACAGTTTTCCCCAACTGCTCCCTAAAGTCTATTGGCAGGGTTTGGTCCAGAGAGGAGCTTGAATTGTTGATGATCTCCTTTGATATTCTCTGCATGGCCTTTGTTCCCTGGTGGAGCCTCTACTCCTGGGGTCTGGAATTCTGCATCTTAAGGAATCTTAAGGATTTCCCCTGGTCTCCTCAGATGGGTCTGTATTTCCAAGGCTTCATGCTTTTGGGCTGGTTTAGGGTCTAGTTGTCCCCCCCCCCCACAAGCCCCCAGTGCATATCACTAGGATCCTCCTAACCTTTCTTATTACAACGGAACTATTCAGCTTTTGCACAATTTTCCCATTTGGGTTTTTGTTCTTATTAATTTAAGCTCTGCATATAAACATGAAAATTATCCATTTCACTGTCATATTAATCTGGCCATTAACTCTTCTGGTGACTTTGCCTTATAGTATTTAAGTTTTATTTTTACACTTTAAAAGCCCTTCATGAGATTATATACTGTTCTCTCATGTGTTCTTCAACTATTTTTTTCTTCTTTGAAACATTTAGTTCTTGGATATATTTGACTGTTTTGGTGAATAGTGTGCCAAGTATAAATGCAAGTTAAAAATTGTTTGGGTCACACGCAGCAGTGCTGTGTGTATATAGGGTGTGTGTGCCTGTTTGTGTGGGTGGATGGTGGGGATTTATTTTAGCTCTGCGCTCATCTGTGCCATGGATTGAACACTGGGCCGCCTGCAGGCGCTCAACCCAGTAAGCTACAGCTTCCATATAAAAAAACTTTTTTTAGCCAGCTATCCAGGTATTATTATTTTATTTGTTTTGTATTTGGTTCACACCCAGAGATGCTCAGTGGTTACCCCTGGTTCTGCATTCAGGAATTACTCCTGGCTGGCCTCTGGGGACCAGACGGGATGTGAAGGATCGAACCCAGGTCATTTTTATGCAAGTCAAACAAACGCCCTACCCTCTATACGCGGGCCCTATTTAGTTATTTTAAAACAATGCAATTTTATCTTTTTATCCTCCCTCTCACTCCCTTAAAATGTTGCCTTGTCATTCTAAATCTCCATGTTTATATTTGATGTATCTTTGCATTTTTATTCTGCCTCGATGTTGAATGCTCATCTGTTGCGCTCGTGGAAATGAGAGGCTGAGGCAAGGTGATCGCCCCAAGAGAGGAAAACCAAGAGCCACCTTAAAGAATCCAGTCACCAACAACGATCGCGACAGTAATGAATGACTGTGAACCAGAACCAGAGGGGCCTAAGAGGACTGGAACCAGTGAGTGTTCCCACCTTCTGCATGACGTCATATGCAAGGCGCTTCTTGCTCACGAGAAGCGAGGGCCCGAAGAAGGCGGGTGCGTGGCTCCTTTAAGGGCTGCGCAGTGGGCGGCTGGGGTGGGGTGTGGTGGGGGAAGGTGGGACGGGACCCGGACCGGGCGGCGGGAGTCTGCGCGTGCGCGGGGCGCGGAGGCGTGGCCTGGGGCGCGCGCGGGGGGGCGGGGCCTCGTGGGGGCGGGGCCTGGGCTCCGGGTCGGGCTGCGGCTCGCGGCTGCGGCGGCCGCTGCTGCTGCTGGTGCTGCTGCTGCTACACGTTCAGCTGCTGCGGGAAGGAGGCCGAGGCCTGGGCCCAGCCCGGAGCCGCCGCTCGCCGGAGCCCCCTGGAGCCCCCGCGCCGCCTCAGCTTGGGGGCGGGCTCAGGCCCGGCCCGCCGCCGAGCCCCGGAGCGAGGCTGCACGCCCGAAGACCCGGCCGGCGCAGCCATGGTGAGGGAGCGCGGCCTGCAGCCGCCCGGGCCGCGGGCCTGCCCTGCCTCAGCCCTGCAGGCGCCCGCGCCGCTCCCCGCCTCCCGCTCGGCTCCCCGCAGCCCCCGGCTTCCGGCGCGGCCGGCGACCCTGCCCCCGGCCCCTGGCCCGGCCCCCTGCCGGGCTGACACGCCGCCGGCCCCCTCCGGGTGACACCCGCGGTGACAGCGCCGGGCCGCCCCCTCGCCGCCCTTTCCCCCGACCTTCCTGCCGCCTCCTCCGGCCGGGGAGGCTCCGTCCCCCCGGGCCGGGCGGTCCCCGCGGCATCACGCTGCCCGCGCCCCCCGCCGCCCGCGTTTCCTCTTGCCGGGCCGCCCGCCGCGTTTCCTGCGACGGGCCTCGGGCCGGGGTCCGCGCCGGGCTCCGCAGGGCCCGGGGTTCCAGGCTTTCCGCCGGCCTTTCCTTGTTCCCGAGCGGGGAGGGGGCGGAGGACGGAGGCGCTGGGAGAGCCTGGGAATCCCACCGCCCGATTGTCATTTTCTCCAGGCCGGGGGGCTGGGGCGAGGGCGGGCGGGCCGTGTACTCTGTGACCTTAGGAGGTTTCCAGCCTTTGAACGGAATAGCAGAAGGGTGTCAGATGCAGGTGTGTTTTTTTTTAAATTAAATATATATATATATGTATTTTTTGAGCGTTGTTTGAGGTGGAGGTGCAGCATGGGAGTTCAGAAATATGTCCGTGCAGGCTGCCTGGCAGAACGCATCGATTGTTATTGTTGGGAGCCGAGAGCAGGGGCGCCGGCTCCCAACAATACTGAAGACTGCTCCCCGCCCCACGCTTCGTTGGTTTTGTCCTCCTGCCTTCGACGGGAGAATCTGGTATTAGCAGTCGCTCTGCCTTTTCTGTTTCAAATAGGCTCCAGTGGTTGAGTTGCCTCGCACATGCCCATGCTGGGCAGTGGTGCGTTTTCACAAGCAGCAGTTGCAAGTTTGGGTTCCAGGAGGGATGCGACATTCTGATCAACAGCCAGCTGGGCATCGTGTTAGATCAGGCCCTTTCTCCCCCCTTTCCCTCACCTGTTTGGTTTGGTGTTTGGTTTATGGGTCACCTTGGGTGGTGATCAGGGTTTGCTCCTGCCTCTCTGCTCAGGTTTCATTTCTGGTGATGCTTCAGTGCTGGGGACGCCAAATGTGTCACATACTAGGCAGGCGTCTTCCCTCTTGCACTGTCTCTGGCCAATTCGTGTTTTTTGGTGGGGTTGAGGGTTGGAGAACAGCCCACTCCTGGTTCTTCAGGGTGCACTCCTGGGATTAGCTGGGGTCTGTGGCATGCAACGCAAGTGCCATAACGCCTGGATTATCTCTCCAACCCCTCATCTGTGGGGGCTGGAGCCATAGCACAGCAGGTAGGGCGTTTGCCTTGCATGTGGTGGACCTGGGTTCGATTTCCAGCATCCCGTATGGTCCCCCGAGCACTGCCAGGAGTGATTCCTGAGTGCAGAGCCAGCACTAACCCCTGAGCATCAAGAAAAGAAAAGAAAAAAGAATTCAATCTGAATTTTCCCTAATTCACTGCATTTTTTTATGTTGTCATTTTCGTATGTTGCTTCTGCAACAACCTTGTCAAAATTACAATCCATCACACTGTTGTGTGTTAATCTGTTTTCCCCTATAAAGTGAGTTATCTGGGTAGCAATTTTGCCTTGTTCCTGGTATTCCCATTGCTCGTGGGGGCATACCTGGAACCTGACTCTGTGCTCAGAGATCATCCCTGGTGGGCTCAGAGGACCCTATGGGGGTGCCCAAGATCCATTTGGGTGGGCTGTGCATAAGACAAACACTACCCACCATACTACTGCTCTGGCCTTAAGACCAAGTATATTCTTGAATGAGTCATTTTATGGTTCAATTTTCCCAGCTGACTCCAGTATCTAAAATCAAATTTTGGGCACCAGGTCCAATGGTATAATAAATGCTTGAATATTTGAATCATAGCATTCTAACCTTAGCACCAAAAATAAGTAAAATAAAACTGAAATTTGAATTAGCCAATAAAATGCACAGGAAGTGTGAGTTTGAAAATCTTATTTTTGGTGCAAATAGCAAATTTAATGAAATACGATGGTCACTGTAGAACCATCCTACCTAAGATACCACATTACTGAGTATTGAAATATTGGCTTTTCCACTCTGGATCAATGTAGGAGTAGCGGGAGAGCTCGGGACTTCCTTTTTGATGTTTAGGATCTGTAAGTGTTGTTTGAGCTGTACCTGAAAAATGAATAAGATTTAAACATCATTTTGGGAAGGAGGAAAATGAATGCAAGTTAGAAAGTAAGATTTTTTTTTGTGTGGTGGTGTTGGGGTACATCTAGGGATGCTCAGGGATTACTTTTGGCTCTGCACTCAGGAATCACTCCCGTGGGCTTGGGGGACCATGTGGGATGTAGAGAATTGAACCCAAGTTGTCCATGTGCAAGGCAATTGCCCTACTCACTGCACTGTTGTTCTGGCCCCTAATCAAGATGTTTTATGGAAAGCAAGTTTACTTTTAAAGAGCATGGGTGAGTGCAGGGATGAAAATATGTTCTAGAAAATAGATGTATTATTATAGATATATAATACCTCTACATAGATATTGTTTAGACTTTACCTCCAACTTGAATTTTCCTTGTTAAAAACACACACATAGAAAAGTCTACATATAGAAGAGGGGAAGAGAAAGCAGAATAATAATTCTCTCCCCTCGCCTTACCTCTGTTGCTGCCATGACTGGGATTGCATACACTTGTTTGTGGTCCCTAGAGATGTACACTTTTCGTGGCATTGGGGATCCCAAGCTGCAGAACCTCTAGGATCACACTTGGCACATTGGATAGTGCTAGTGATTGAACCTGTGGCATTGTACCTGCTAGGTAGGCCCGGTATCACTGAGCTATTCCTGATCCCCACATTTTTTGGCTTGATTTTTTTTTTTTGATGGTGGTAATGGCTTACTCTGAGCTCTGCACTTAGGGATCATTCCTGAGCATGGTGTGGGGGGCGAGGGGCGGTGAAGGGAGGAGAATGTGGTTGCTGATGATTGACACTGGATCCGTCTGCAAACTCACTCCCTGCTGCTCTCTCTCTCTGCTTCCTTGGGCCTTACTTTCTGAGAATTGTTTGTACAGGTTACTTTTTTGCAGGTGTGCACTGTTTAGCAGGCACTATGCACTATGCACTATGCACTATGCACTATGCACTATGCACTATGCACTATGCACTATGCACTATGCACTAAGGGCTGGAGCGATAGCACAGCGGGTAGGGCGTCTGCCTTGCACGCAGCCAACATGGCCGACCTGAGTTCGATTCCTCCGCCCCTCTCGGAGAGCCCGGCAAGCTACCGAGAGTATTCGATATGCCAGACACAGTAACAACAAAGTCTCCAATGGAGACGTTACTGGGCCCGCTCGAGCAAATCGATGATCAACGGGAGGGCCTTTACTTTACTTTACTTTATGCACTAAGTAAAGAGTTGAATATTATTGGAAAGCTTTATGCTTTATATTTCAGTTTATTTTTTCAATATTTTGTTGTGCTTTGAATAGCTGAGATGTCTAAAACAGTGGTTCTTAAATTTTACAGTGAATTGGAGGGAAACTGGCGACACTGGTGGAGGAAAGCGGACACTGGTGAAGGGACTGGTGTTTGAACATTGTACGCCTGAAACCCAATCATAAATAACTTGTAATTCACGTGATTCAATTAAGAGAAAAATCACCTGGAGAGCACGCTGGGCTTTCTCTAGAGTCTGGAATTTATTAGGTCTGGAATAAGGCTTGAGAGTTTGCCTTTCTAACAAATAACCTATTTAATGCTATTATTCCTTGTTTGAGCAACCCGTTTTGAGATGCACTGCTCTTAATAGATAGTCCTTATTTTTTATTTAACAATATTTTTTGTTGTGCCATGTACCGTGTTGGTATTGAGAAGCTCACACGTAATAAGAGGGTTCCTATTTTTTTTTAAATATCAGGTAGCACAGTGGTAGGGCATTTGCCTTGCATGCGGTCTACCCGGGTTCATTTCCTCTGCCCCTCTCGGAGAGCCCAGCAAGCTACCGAGAGTATCTCGCCCACACGGCAGAGCCTGGCAAACTACCCGTGATGTATTTCATATGCCAAACACAGTAACAAGTCTCAGAATAGTGATGCTACTGGGCCTGCTTGAGCAAATTGATGAACAACAGGAGGACAGTGACAGTTGTGTGGACAATACAGATATTAAGCAAATAATAATTTTAAATATGAAAAGTGAAGAAAGAAAAAAAATTGTGGAAATATTTGTATGTAGAGAGTAGTCAGAAGTGGTTTCCCTTAGGACCTTGATTTTTTGTTTTGTTTTTGGGCCACACCCAGCAGTGTTCAGGAATTACTCCTGATGGTACTTGGAGGAGTATTTGGGGTGCCAGAACTTGAGCCTGGGTAGGCCAGATGTAAGGCAAGTGCCCCACACAGCTGTACTATCTCTCTGGGCCCTTGGTGAATGTCTTATTGCCACACCTATATTGTAAGAACCAGTGCTATAGGGCTCTGGGTGTCACTCAGAAGTAGAGTATAAGACCTTTATGTGTGAGGCCTTGGATTAAGTTCCTGGCACTGTGGGGGTACAATCCCAGTCCTCAGCACTGTAATAACAGCGAATTACTGGTATAGAGATGGTTTCTGACTCTGCTAAGGACCAGTTGATGTTCTAGGCATTGGGGCTACAGTGGATTTAAAAAAAGACATGGTTTTAAGATAGTACAAGGACTAAAGCACTAGCCTTACACACAGTGCACCTGGGTGCCCCTCATATAGTCCCCTAGGCACTGCCAGGAGTGATCCCTGGACACAGAGCTAGAAGTAAAGCCCAGAAATGAAACAAAACAAAAAACCTATTTTGCATTTGTATTGGAAATAAGCATATACAAAAATAGTGTTAAGTGGATAATATATAAAGAGTATATAAAGTTACCTTGTCCAAGGTGCAGAGATATCATA